TTTATGATTTAATAATAGCAATTATAATTTCTTAAACTATAGTTTTATGGTTAAACATAAAAAAATACTTATATATATAAAATTTATGTTAAAATATATTAAATACATACTATTTTACAATTACAATTAATTAATTTTTGTTAAATTATTGATTTACAATTATTACTATAGATTGTAATATGTCTATTACTTAATATGAATATTTAAATATTATTCATGAAAAAATCCAAATAATTGTGTTATTTCATTAATAGTAATAACAATATATTTGTCGATGAAAATTAAAATGAGTACGTATTTTATCTATTTATATGAATATTCTTAAATCATAAATAGATAAAATAAAAATTAAGGATATTCATATTTTATTTGTTAAATAAATAGACGGAAGAGGTTAAAGAATTAATTAGTAAAATGTATCAATAAATAAAAATAAAATATTTAAATTGATCTGTTTATAAAAATATATATTTAAACCTAGGTAAGTAAATATAAATATTATTTAATTTCTTTACATAAGATTAAAATTTTCATCAGATAAAGAATAATAATTATTTATAGATATTAAGATATATTATAATAAAGAACATAGTACATGACATTATTTGTTATAAAATACAATACAAAAATGATAAGTGATATATTCATTCACAAAGGATTAGTCATTCTTAAGGGAAAAACTCTATTAAAGGGTCCCATTGATTCAAAGATTAACATATAGGGGAGGTAAATTTTATAGTTGGTGTACAGTCCACAACACATTGTGTGTTTCCTACTACCAAAGCTAAATGACATTTCTTGGAGGGTGAGATCTCAATAACTTCAAATAAAATATAATTTATGGCCTTTGGGACAGTTAAGCAAGTTTAGAAGGGTAAAAGTTTAATGGATAAAAATGTTTGGGGTGGTCTCTGTTTTCTTAACAACATTATCAACTTGGTAGAATTTTAGCCAGTTTGAAGTAGTAGAGTACCAAAAACACTAGAAAGTTATATAAATATAATTTTGAATAAAAAGAAATAAATAAATTCAAATCATTAACAATATTATATAATGCAGCAGTTCTAAATAAATTACTACGTAATATTATAAATGAATAATAATTATAATTAAATTAGTATAAGTAGATAGATTAAATAAATATCAACAAATTACTACTTCCATTAGCTATTTATTTCATCATTATATTTTAAATACATAAAAAAAAGTTAGATAAGATAAGACAATGGTGTAATTAATATTTGTCATGGGAGAAAGGTATAAATATGATAAATTATTTCATTGGACAAAAAAATACAAATTTTTAAATTATGTAATCAATGATCATTGAAATTATTTTATGATTTATAAAATAAATAATAAATTTTATGCCAGTGGCCTGAACAGGAATTTTCTTCGAGAAGGGAAAAGCTGATTCAATTTTTACACAGCGGTGGTTTACCTAGGTTTTTTCATAAGTGTAACATGTCGAAGTTTTATTTTAGATTCTGGTTCCCATAACCCTTATCATATATTTATTTAATAATTCACATATACTTGAAATACTTTGAATATTGCATTTTATAGCAATATAAAATTAATAATTTTACACCTATAACTTAAATTTTTTTTTTTAACTTGATGTTTTCTTTTCCAGGCCATTTTATCCGATTATTTTTGTAGAAAAATGAAAATCCTGTACAGTAATCAAGTTGCATCACCAAAATATTAAAATAGTAATACGTATTAATATACGTTCTGCATTCACTGCGACATTGCTGGTCCATATTTTTTCGTTGCCCGGTTGTGAATATTTATTTTTTATATAACTATTTACAAAATATCAGTGGGTCCCAAACTGTGAGGTATGCCTCCCCAGAGAGGCACAGGCACTTATTTGGGGAGGAGCAAGACAAATATTTATATTATATATTACAATATCATACATTTTTTTCTATCGACAGTAATTTGCTAAAATAAAAAATAATAAAGAAAAGAAAATAAAAAAAAAAATAAAAAATAATAAAGAAAATGTTGTTTTATTTATTCGTGGGAGGCATGATTAATTTTTTTTTTGTTTTGGGGATGCGTAAATTAAAAAAGTTTGGAAATCACTGCATTATAAGATTAGATGTAAGGATAAGAAGTCATTGGATGTCTCACTAATCACTTATAAATATTTATTTATAGATTTTAACTTGAAACTTATTATCGTGTTGACAATGAAAAAACCACAGAGAGCTAATATTTAGTACTATGGTGACCAATGTTATATGCATTAAATATTTACTAGTGGTACGGCTATAGATAGTTGTAAAGTATTAATACTAGAAAACTGTTGTCCATGATCAATAAATAAAAGCTAACAAAATAAAGATAACAATTTAAAATCAAAATATGTTTTACATTTTCTTAATATTTCAGTGAGAGGGAGGGGGCGCTGCAGTTCCTTAAATTTCTCCATGGCTACGCCACTGCCAATTGGATTTATACTATATAAATTATTGATATATTGTCAATAAATATAAATTAAATAATTTAATTATCAATGGTTATTAATGATATTAAATACTCAGTAAAAAAATCAAGCTAGAAATCCAAGATTGAAACTCTGTAAAGGGTTTACATTACAGCAGCAAAACTAACTGAAATTACAATTTTAAATAAATAAAAAATTCAAAACAATTTTTAATTACTTTATATGGTCCAAGGGAAAGAGGAAAGGTTGGGACATGGAGTCCCTACTTGGGTAGCTCCACTAAAATAAAATCTCGGATAAAATATAATCAAATTTAACCAGTTTCAAATACTTTAATAATATTATTTATCTTAAAAATTAATTAGTAGCTGCCTCCAAAAATTTAAAATTCTAAATTTTGTTAGTAATATACTCTAAAATAAACATTTAAGTAATTAATATATTAAATAGCCAAATAGGTATATTTAACTTTCAAATTAAGTTAAATAAAATATAATAATTTAAAAATAATAAAAATACCTTATTTATTTTTAAATATAAATAAGTATTGAAAAAAAAAAATATAGCTTATAAAATAAATTTATATTTAAATATAAATTATATTTTAAATTTAAAAATAGAAGTAGAAGTAAGATAGTATATATGTTATATATAATTTATGGAATTAGGTACACATTTTTAGAAACACTAATTTATGAATTTACTCATACACACAAATAGTTTATTCAAATATTTAATATATCTTATTATAAGGTATTTTTAAATGTCTACTTGTACTTACATTGGTTTCTTATAAATTATAAGTGAAATTATAAGATACATGGTGATTGTGGGCTAGCATCTGGAAAGTGTAGTCTAAACGCAGACCATTGCATATTTTTTCACTTTACATTTTTATACCTTCAATTAACCAATGTAAGACAATGTCAACTTATATGGATCAAATACTTCCATTTTTATAAATCACATTTTTCAGTATTTATGGACATGTTTTTATCACATAGTAATTATTATGTCATTTAATATTATGTTTTTAATATCTTATTTTATTAGTAGATATACATATATATATATATATATATATTTTTTTTTTGTATATCTTAAACATAAATTTAGTACACCTTATTGAGAATACATGAAGTTATTTTCTTCCTATATATAAATTTTTATAATGGAAAATATTTTCTTATTAAAATAATAACTATTGTTATTAAAAAAACTTAATAGAAGATATTAATCCTACATAGCATATAGTCTATTCAATTATATAATATATTAAAATGTAATTTTATAATAACTATAATAACTTTAACTTTAACAATTTATAATAACTTAATAATAACTAGATAGATAATATAATTTTAACCTATTTATGTAAAATTAGTACGTCAAATTGTCCATTTGAACATTTAAAAAAAAAAAAAAAACATTTGTGTACACCTAGATATACTCAAATATTCAAACTTTTTCAATTAAAACTCAGAAAAATTAACCATCATTCAATTTATTAGCAAAAATATTTTCTGAAATGTACCATTGTGTCATTAAAATATCATCATAAAATCATATGATAAATGTATTAATATTTACTAAACAAAACATTATCAATTAAATATACTTGTTTAGACGAATGATAAAAATAATTGTATAAGATACATTGATGTTGTCAAGAGGTTTTACTAGTTAGGAACAATGAGAGGTCAAATATAAAATTCAAATAATAGGAAACATGAATTAAGGTTGAAAGCATAACAGAATATTACAGTGTAATTGTACAATAGTATTAATATTATTCTTAAATATGAAATTTTGTTTCTACTGAGAACTATTACAATTTTTTTCTGCATATTAAAAACGACCATAGTATTATGTTTATGATCAGACCATTTTCGAGTAACAGATCTAGAAATTTTCAGGTAGGTCCATGGCTTTACCACTAATACTATATCTATCTTTCTAGAATAACTAATAATGTAATTAATACTTATCAAAAAAGACAATAATAATTTATCAATGTCATACTTGAAAATAATTTAATATATACGTACCATGTAAATATCACATATCAATGTAATCAAAACTAAAATATTTAAATAGCTTATTTCTTTATAAAATGTAATATATTAAACTTGATTACGCTTCAAAATAAATAACAATTGTTTATAAATGATATATATTCATTTTCAAGGGTTTGAAAGGTAATTAATTCTCATGTACCTTAACAGTAGTTATGGCATATTCTATATTGGTATCCAAATATATTGACTTTGTATCAAAATGTATTATGAATACAATCACAAAAAGACTTGATTCATATCAAAGAAACTAAAGTAATCATCAACTAAAAATACATTAGATACTAAAGATAGATGTCTTTAAGTATATTAATTACTTATCAGAAACACTTAGAAAGACATTTCGATGTCAAGAAAATCATTGTATACAATTCATGTTGGATAAAAATAAATTATCAAACGGTATAAGTCTTCGTTGTAAATAAGTTACTATTAAACAATAATAGTTGTAAAGCAAATTAGTTTACCTGATTTACTAGCGACGGCCGCTATTCCCAGTCCAATAGTTATCGTACCTCCCAAACCTCGTCTCCACAACATGTTTGTATGTCTAAGTCAACGGGATAGATGCAATTTGTTCTAAATTCGGGATCAACTTGTTCTTTCGTTATCAGGCGAACAACGTCTTCGACGAACACCACAACATTATAGTTTCGCGGCACTAGCACTGAAGACGTTAATTGGAATGAGATGGAACGAACAAATGGAATAAAACATTCAAACGGTTCATGAATGAATACAATGTAAGTTGGAGTGGATTCCAGTGAAATTGGCAATAATCGTGGAAAATAACAATGATTTCACACGAAGGAACACAAACTACAGACGTGAAAACCAGAATGAGACTGGCGGGGGCACGAACGAACTCTGGTAGCTACTGCAGTGCTGCAGCGGGTGCTGGAGAAATGGTATCGGTAATCGGTCTTATGTCGTAGGCAGTCGTCCGAAAAATGATAACAACCGAGGCTGACTAAATATGGCAGCGTTGGATTCGTTGCCAACCTACAATATTTTAGGATATCGAACAAAAATTATTTCATCTGATTAGCAGGCAGCATGATAATTTATATAAATCATAATAATTAATAATACAATTTCCATTTTAGATGGTAAATTACTTTTTGGGATCGTAGATCGGGAAGACGTCACGAAAATAATACGAATGGTCGGTGTTTTACGATCTGCGACTTAATTTTTTCTCTTGTAATAATTTTTAATCTTTTAATTAATTGTAATTGATTGATTGCTGAAACTTAATAATATTAAAAATATTGTTGTTACTGATGTGGAAAAAATAATTTTATTCTGTTATCGTAATAAGTAGATCATAGAGTAATACCATTGGTTATACCATAGAGTAAGGAATGTAGAATGTATTATACATTGTATATTTAATCAATGGTAATACTGTTACTCTATGAATTAGATAGACTATACCGTGATAAGAACCAAGTAACCAGTCAAGGTGTATTCATTTTGTAACCAACAATTTTAGTACTATCATAAAATATACATAAAACAATATTATTGTAGTATATTGGTTCATAGAATATAATGGATTTCTTATGTTTTGAATAGATTTTCGCAGTAGAGAATGTTTTGGGCTCCCAAATAAAATTGACTACATTAGCCCATCTTTTGTAGGTACAAATTTTGCATTGATAACGCACATAGATAATGAAATTATGTAATATTAAATTAATAAATTAACAAATAACAATTATATATTTGTGTATGTAATACATATTATAAACATCCCAGACAACAATATCTTATGTGTGACGTTGAGTGTAAATTATGTACCTAAAAATGATATAGAATAATGTATGAATAACGCAATTTAACAAACATTTTTTATTTTTTTGCAATACTTGAGATGAGTTATTAGAGATGTAAGAAAATGAACAAATAGTGAATATTTAAAAATAAATGTCAAATGCTATGTCTTATTTAGTGCAATAATAATAATAATAATTTTTTTTTTTTGTTATATAAGTCCAATAAATATTTTACAATAAATGGATATTTATTGGACTTATATAACCAGTATTATGTGATAGAGTTAGGAACAGTGGCGTAGCGAAGGGTAAGCTAAGGGGGCTATACCCCCCCCCATGGGCCGTGTCTATATGTATAATGTATCTTGACTAATAGAATCAATGGATGCTCGTTTTAATCAAAGACTTATTGATGTTATGCCACTTGAAGGACTTATTCCGGCCAATTTAAATATGTATGACGATAAAAATATTATAAAAGCTGCTAAAATATATGTCCAAGATCTCCTTGATGATACCTCATCTACAATCAGTACCTGTTCATATGGAGGCAACAATGGAGTCAAAATACCATTCCAAAACCGAATTCTACTCTTGATTCACTCTCTCATCGCACCAATCTTTGACCTAACATTAAAATACTTTTACAATTATTCGCCACGTTACCAGTTACCTCTTTCACTCCGCAAAGAACGTTTTCAGCACTTAATCGCTTAAAAATTTTTTTAAGAAGCACCATGTCGGAAAACAGACTGAATGGGTTAGCTATGGCTTATATAAATAAAAAAAGAGCAATTTGATGAAAGTGAAATAATAACTGAATTTGCCAGAAATTCGCCTAAGAGGATGTAGCTGTCAGAGTGGAGCAAGGGACTGAACACTAAAACCAAAATTACTACTATTATTATAAATTATATATTAATAAATAGTTTTAAAACTATACTAAAATGTTTGAATTAAGTTTAGAAACTTGGTGGTAGATGGTAGGGGGGTTAAGGGTGAATTCTCATATCCTCTCTTACCTTACTTATCCAAAAAAGTGGTTAGCCCCCCCATTTAAAAATCCTGGCTACGCCACTGGTTAAGAACGTTTGGTATCAAAGTAGATTAAATATTTAAAATTAACAACATCATATATTATTTGTACTGGAAATGATGGTTTCACAATTTCACGATCACAAGTAAAGATTAAATGTATATGAAAAATTTTGAAATTTTTTTGGTTTTTAAGTTTTTAAGTGTTATGATTTATGATATGAATATTTGCTGTGATGAGGTTAATAATGTAAACATTGCTTACGCATATGGCGATTTTGCTTCAATGATAATAATGAGTTATCTATCTAGATGTTTTATATATGTGTGGTATGGATATAAAGTTAGAGAAGGAATTTCCAGTTCAATTTAAGGAAAAGTTCATTAGTTCTCTGAGATTAATAGTTCAAATGGACTATTCTTCAGTTCACATAGTTCATACGTTCACTAATTTAAATGATTCATACTATTTGATTTCGCAAACGATATGAACTATTTTCATTATCCCTGCTAGTAGGTAGGTCCTAAAAATAGTAAATTAAAATATATATCATCAATAATTAAATCAAATAATTTCAATGTAGAGTTTCGACTCGAAACTACACTATGAATACAGATTAATATAATAATTATATTTACATTTATATTCTATGGTAATATCTGACAAATTTATTTTCATGAACAGTAATGCAAATATTGCAAACAACTGTATTGGGGTTTTGAATAACAAACTAAATAGACTTAATAGACTAATAATAAAGACATAATATAAAGTTTACAAACTGTACTACAGTGCATAATACACAATGCCACCAATATATTTTTTTAACTGTAAAATGTTAGATTACAGGTACTGAAACAGGTCAGAGTAGTTCACCAAAGTGAATAGTTCATTTAAACTATTCGTTCTCAAGCTCAACATCTCTACATAGAGTATTTAATAATGTAGATATTAATTATAGGCGTACACATGAGGCGAGCTCCAGCTTGAGTGGAATTTTTTGGGGATATAGTAAAATTCAAACTAACCATAGCTAAATGTCTTTATATAATTTAATATGTTCGTGGAAATCAAGTAATTGTATTTATATAATTTGATTTTAAAGAATTTTAAATTTTACTTTTAACTTCAAAAATACATGTTTAAAAATTAACAATATAATACTTGATTCTATGGATATAAATACAATATTGTTTTTAATTTACAACAGAATCTACTATGTTGAAGTTTTAGAAAAAAATTAGGAGCACTGTCTAAGTATTGGGGCACTAATTGTATTCAGGCTCGACCGGAAGTTGAAGTCTGCGCACGCCTATGATACTAATAAAGTACCTAACTAATATCTATATCCGTGATTTGTCGATATACTTTAATATGATATGAATAAGATAAATCTTAATTCGTGATTTTCATTATTATAAACTATAATAAAATAATATATTATATTTTGTTTAATTATATTATATTTCGTATTAATAGTTAATTTATAATTCATTAAATCGTTTAAAATGTAATAATACCATTTAGATTATAAATAATTAATATACAATAGTTTTCAAAAATAATATTAAGAAATGAATTGTCTTTTAACTCTTCAAGAATGATTGTTATATGAAATACAAGATTCGACAATATAATATTTAAAAATATTTATATAAAATAAAATATATTATATATTTATTTGTGAAAATTAAAATTTGTTTTTATTATATATTGCTAATCGTTTAAGAATAAAAATGTATTTTGAGTTAAAATCGTTAAAAATTAAACAATTCTACTTTTCATCTAAATCGGGACATATAGACGTCCCGAAAACATTTTTCGGGATACTGGGACACGAAGTCCAAAACCAGTCATAATCCCAGTTTTCCGGGACGTATGGCAACCCTATGTTAAAGGTAACTTTGCCTAAAACGTTTACTGTTTTTGGTATAAATTATTATTATAATTGTATTTAAACTATTTTTAATTGTACTTTAAATTTACCAATAAATATACTATAACAATATACCAAATATACCTACGTTACGTAGGCTACGTAACTAATGTTAAAATTTTATCAATGTAATCATATTTTATTGATTGTAGAAAAGGGGCTAATGTAGGCAAATGTATATACGGATCCAAAAATTTCTTTCCTGTAAAGATTCATTCGTTTCCTATGATAGTTAACACCTAACCAATCTATCCAATCATCTTTGATATCGTAACAAAAAAAAGATTAGGCATATATTTTGTACAAAATTTTATTGTTTTATTGTTTTATTGTGTGTTATAATTTAAAGTTTATTTCAAATAGTGGTTATACTGTACGTTCGACAGTGAAATCGTCTATGTAGGTGCTTTTTAAGGAATGACCAATGTTATTGAATATAACAGAACGGTGATCAAATATTTTGTATTTTTGAAAATTCGTTGTAACGTTAAATTAATTCACTGCATTTGGAATTCCAATGGAAAACGATTGGACTTACAAGACTAGAAATGCCACCGAGAATAGTGATGAACAATTTACCAATAATGAAAACCACAGTGAAATCGTTGATTTATACTCTAAAAGTTCCAACTCAGTCTCTCCTAGAGACTCTTTGGTCTATGCAGACACTAGAGAATGTAATGATGAATTTAGGACCAGTGATCAAGTTATTTATATATCCTCAGAACTATCGGATTCTGATAGTATGAGCTATGGATCAGAGTGCTATGATATTGATACGACCAATCAATTGACTTCTGAAAATAATGATGAAAAAGAACTAACAGAGTTAATTCAAAGTGTGTTGAACGGTGAAACACCTGTTGAAGATTCACCCAAATGGCCTAGTATATTATTAGTAAGAATAATTTATTCATTTTATCATGCAACCACTGTATCATATTAAAGTTCTTATTTATTTTCAGTTGCATTCCCAAAATTCAATAGAAATTTCTAAAGAACAATTTCAGAGTATGATCATGGAAAAAGCGGCAGATATTATTATCAATAAACATAAGTTGGGAGACCTAATGTTTCAGACCAAAATTATAAAAAAAGAGCAAAATATATGGTTAAGAAAATTAGAATATATATGGAAATTTATCCGTAAAACACATGAGAAACTAGATAAATTGGATAGAAAACAGCCGGCTCCTACAACTATAAAGGTTAGGTCAGTTGGAACAAATGTGAATATGACACCAATAAATAACATTACCGAAAAACCTTATGAACCACGTATGTACAAGGATCTACCAACTATTAATATAGACTGAACCAAGTATACTGCACAAACTCAATTTATTTAATTAATACAAATTAATTGTATGATTATCTTTTATTATTGACTGTATGATTATATTCAAAATAATTATAATTGACTGTTATGGTCAACTAGTTACAATGTATCAATGAAATATATTTTAATAGTTTCTATTAATTTAATAACAGTCTAAAAGTATATAAAAGCTTTTTAATATAGTAAAATAAGTTTACTATATTTTGATGATGAATAAATTAATTTTTTACTTCTAAGACATTGTTATATATTTTTTTATTTGTCTTAAAAAAAAAATAATATACTGAAATGATTATGGTACATGTATTATTATTCAATAATTATACTTCACTAAATTGTTAAAATAACATTTAAATATTTGTATGTATATTTGAATATTTTTTATCATCAACTGATATATGTATTTATGTAATTATGAACATCCATTGCAAATTTAGAGCAAAAAATTGAGGTGCTTATGTCCTTATAAACATGCATTAAGTGACCTCTAATGAAAAATTATAATGTATAAATAATTTGTTATTAAAAAAATTAATTAACAAAAACCTGTTTTTGAAAATAAAGTGTAATACATTAATTTTAAACTAATAAATAAATAATTCATTCACACTATTCATATATTCATATATTGTATTAATCACATTAATTTTGAGTACATACAATCAATGTATGTATATTTGTAAATTACCATACAAGAATACTAGATATGTCAAATTACTTGCGTTTAATTAAAAAAAACTTGGAGTAATCAGCACAATCAAATTTCAATTATGATCAATATTGAAATGTACGTGTATATATATTATCAATCTGCATAAGAATATGAAATAATACAATATGATTTTTAATTATACATCCCAACTTAGTTAATTGCCATATTATTATTTTATAATATAAACTCAAGTTTTTAAAGTTTTCTTTTGAGAATATGTAAATTATATTTCTTATTTGATTTCCACTTTTAATATTTATATTGTTATAGATATACATAAGAGTCAACCTTGATAATATTTCTTCTTCTTATAGCTCTTAATCAAGTTTTCAGTAGCCCTAAAGAAGATACTTTTCTGCAGTTGCGACAGAAAGTCGCAATATAACTAAGATTTTTGAAATTCTGTTTATATTTTTATCCAAATGATTTAATGTCTCATAAGTAAAATTTATATTTTTAAACTCAGGATTTACTGATACAGAACTAATGTTTTTTCACGAAAATGACAATGTGTGACGTTCAATGGTCAACAACAATTTCCTTCAGTAACCATAGTAACTTTTTAATAATTTTTATTACAGTACACTATATAATATGATACTTGTAAGATGTAATATAATTATTGGTATGTGGCTTGTATGTACAAGAAATTATAACAGATTCGGTACATTGTAAGCTATTCAAGTTATTCTATTGGTAGACATAAAGTTTAGGATTCATAAATAATTAAAAAATAATAGTTTTATTTTCGCCTTGGATGAAAATTACTTATCTGGGAAGTATCTCCTCCCTCCTTGAATCCTTGCAAGGTCCAAATCACAATAGATTTAAGAGAAATGTATACAATTTATATATTATTTTCTTATATAAATTCAGTTAAAAAATATAATTTAATGAAGTAAAAGCTTGAAATCATTATTGCAGGGCTCATAACTTAACTCTAAAAAAGCACTTTATAATATAATATGTATAAGTAAAATTTCCCTCTATTATTAAAAAATATATCATTTAAAAAAAATTTAACTCTTAATTATTAAAATACAGATTGTGTCGCTATATGATACTAATATATAATCTCAACCAAAAAAAACAATAATTAGTTAATAAACATGAATTAATTATAAATATAAATAATTAATACTACTATAATTACTTATTAAGAAATATATATTTTAAATGTTACAGAAGTGAGACTTAAAAAAGTAAATAAAATTTTTTTAAATATGTAACATAAAATTTTGTAATTTTCTTAACTATCTGAAATAAATTTAAAGCTTATTCCTGTATTTCTAAGACCTCTCTTAAAAAAAAAAAAAAAAAATTTAAATACTTTAAATTATGAGCTGTGAATATTAATTATTAAAAGTCTTAAATATGTGTATCATTAAAATATTCCTATTGTAAGTAAAAATCAATTGAATATATATATATTTTTAGTGAAATATTACCAATTCCATTTCTGTCAATGTAGAGAAGTTACTTATATTTATTATTCTTAGATCAATCATACTAATACATAATAATTTAATAATGCTGTAAGATAAAAGCTTTGAAAAATAAAGTCTAGCTGTGGAAAAATATGAATAAAATAATAAAATATGAAAAATATTAATAGTTCATTTAATGAATATTTTTTTAAATGTTAAAATTTAATTAAACATTTAAAATAATAGTACTCAAATATAAGTTTAAGATCTGAAGGCCAATATTAAATTAGAACTTGCAACCGGCACCACTACAAGAAAAACTATGCTGGTAAATCAATAAAATGTTATTATACCTTAACAACTTAAATTCAATACCCAATTTGAAAAATAAATAAAATATATTAAATTTTTAAACGTTTTTGGATACATTTTGAAAAATAACAGTAGTATTAGTCAAAAAATATCTAGAACTAAGTACAAAGATAATAAATCATTATTCTATGACTGTAGTTTCCACCAACCTTTTTTATGTACATGCCTCTAGTAATTTTCAAAAATCTCACCCTCATCTACTACGTTTTTAATTTTAAAAAAAAATTATGATTTTATAGCTAAAAATAAAATTATTTAAGTGGAGTTTTTCTTCTATAATAATAAATAATAATGAAAAAAAAATCATTAATTAATATATAAATCATTCTTCATAATCTTATTTCATTTAATATTATACTAACATTATATTAAGAATTAAAAATAAAACACTTACCTGTTTCTATTTTATATCAAAATTTATTAGTAGCAAGATGTTGTCAGATAAGTCAATTTGTGTAAATATGCAAATACATTTATGAAAATTTATGTTAGCATAATGTATCTATTAAAAACATTCACTATCAGTGATAAATATCATTCAGTGAAATCATTTTATCAAATTTCATTAAAAGTATAATGGTACGATATTCATTTGTCAATTTCAATTACATATCCTTATGTTACCTTTAATAACCAATGTTAAATGTTATATATATTATGCTGTACAATTCAACTACTAAAATCCTAACAACCATGTTTATAATACCATAAAAACAAAGTTTTTTTTATTGTAAGTAACATGTCAAAAAAAAAAAATTTAACTCCCAAATTAACACTTCAAATCTTACCCAAGGCATACTACACTTGTTTCATGTAGTTTTAAAAATAAAATGAAGTATGTACTGTTTTAAGAACCTCAAGCTTTATTAAAAAATAAGTCATAATTATTATAAGAAATCATTATTTAGTAAATTTATTTATATTAAGTACTAATCTGCCAAGTGATAGCATGAAACACACTAATGCCGTCAAAAAATATAATAATATGAATACATATACATACATTATGATACAGCAGTAATTTCATTTAAGGAAAACAGTGGCAACATTTTATGTAACAATGACACAGATAATCAAAACACGTTTTTTATAAATTTTTTTTTTTTTTATAAATTTTTATTGTTAAGCATATTTGTACACGCTCTTTTCATTACTCTAACTGGTTTCAAAATGCAAAAGAAATAAAAATAAATATAATTAAGGTATGTAAAAATTGGAAAAAAATGTAAAAATTAATTTTTCATCTACTAAGAACTTAGCAGAAGAGTTAATTGAATCATAAATAAAAAATTTAAAAAATTCATTACATTAAACTTGTAGTCATAGAAAAACCAAAAAATCAAATCTTCAATTAATTCATATACAAAACTCATGTCCTATACAAATATAAAAATGGTGCAAAAACTTTAAATAATATTCCTTACCGGGTTTGTTGTGACCTATATTAATAATTTACCTAATACTAAGTATTAGATTTTGATATATGTTACAGATACCCAAAAAATAAATAAAATAAAAATAGTAAAATGAAAGTACCTAACACCCAATACAAACAATCACATAAAAAATGTTATTAAAACATTATGAAAATATAAAATTTTGTATTATACATAGACATGAAGTATATCATAATCCAAAACTAAAGAATTTCAGTATTTAAAAATAAATATTAATACTACATTAAATCTATATCAAAGGCAAACAGCAATAATTGCTTTTCTTGATGAGAATAATAATTAAAACTAATAGTCACTAGTTCGATGAAACAATACTATTGATCTAATTATCTAACCTAGATATATTTAATTTAATATTGTGTAAGTATACTTAGTAAGTGTTTAAATAATATAATTTTGGGAATTAAGAATAAAGAAAAAGTGATTACCTTTTCTTCAGCAAGACATATTAATATTTAATAGAAAATGGATCTTAATGTGACCAATAAAAAAATAATATAATTCATTTAAATATTTTTGAACAAAAGAAGGTATGTCATTATGTGTTATAAGAAAAAAAATTTACTCTCAGATGGTTTCAAAACTTCCTGAAGCTTACAAGTGAGTGATAGTATTTTTACAACATACTTTAAAGATTAAATTTGTATAAGAAAACATAAATTTAATGTTTAAACAAAGTTTTTTTTTTTTTTTTTTACTTTAAAACATAGTCAGGCGGTGCAGGCGGGCAATGTGTTGTATGTGTCTGGTTCATTAGGCCTAGACAAGAAGCCATTGAAACCGGTTGAGGGTGGAACAGCGGCCAAGGCTAGGCAATCACTAAAAAATATCCAGGTAATACTTAAACATGCTGGGACATAATTTAATAAGTTAAGAGTAAAAAACAATAGTAAATGTTAAAGAAATAAAAATTGTTGTACTTAAAACAATCTAAAAATTAATAATCAATTTAAGTTCTTTCAGTATAAATTAGAAGTATAAAAACTAAAAAATCAATAATTTTATTGTTAATTAAACCTATTTCAAAATGTAATTCTTAATTTTTTTCCATTATGATCTGAGAAAAATATAAGAACTTAATTTATTCAAAATATTGAGAATAACATGAATAATAATGTATAATAAGTCATTAATATCAAAATATCATTCAATAGGTATTTTGTTCTTATACGAAAAATTAAAATATAATAAA